CTTTATTGTCCCCCGGGGAGTGTAATCGGGAGCGGTTGGTTACACCCTTCTCCCCTTCTCTTCGGCGACATTTCGACGGCTGGAAGCGGCAGGGTTTGGACGTCGCCACCAATCGGTGGCGGCAGTTCGTGTTGATTGGTCGCAAAGGCCACCGCGAAGGCGGTGCGCAGACGGCGCAGAAGGCTGGTGCTCTCGGACGAGGTGGCGCGCTGCGCGTGCCCGGCGGCCCGTTCCAAGAGCAAGGGCGCCCCTGCGCCAGGCCTCGTTCGCTCACTGGCGTTCTTCGGTTATCCACGCACCGCCTTTGTGAATCTGCCGAGTCGCCCCGTCCGGGGCCCCGAGATCCTCACGGGTCGATCTAGACCGAGTTTTATTTCTGGGTTCTTGATTTGTTCTTGGTGTGTTTTCGGGCGTCGCTCAAATGTGTTCTTTCGCCAAATGGATGTTGACTATGGGAACCGGGTCGGACTGGACCTGAGCTGAATTGGTCGCGCGCGTGAGAGGACGCCATAACGTTTTCGGCGACCGTCGGCGAAATCGACTGCGCGACCAATCCAGACAGTTCAATACACAGGATCGCATCTTGTCGGGTTCCGCGCCACAGGGGCCCCAATCCCTCCAGGGTCCTTTCTCCGTAACCCAAGTTCCGGGAACCACGTCGTCCACGAAACACGACGCCAGGTGCCGGGGCTGGGGTCCAGGATTTGTTTCCGTCAGGGCCCCGCTGTGAGATGTTCCTCGTCCTCCCCATCCTCCCCCTCCTCCCCCTCCCCTTCCCCCTCCTCGTCAGTCCCCCTTGTGTTGGGAACCTTCTTCAAAAGTGGAGCAAGTACCGATGCCGCCACAATGGGCACCACGAGAACCACCCCGTCCAGCACGACGGCTACCATGAGCAGCACGGCGGAAACCATGGGAAGTGCGCGGATACCATTCCCATTGCCATCACACCCACCACCCGCACCACAACCACAACCACGGCCATCAGCACCACGACTCCCACCCCGCAACCTCGTGGCTCCCAGTCCGACTGTCGTCACAGGATCCTCCACGCCTGCCGCTCCGGGGGCTGACACCATCTCCGACCTCAGCTCCGATCCTCTTGCGGCGCCTGTTCCAGCCCCCGACCCCACCCCCGACCCCAGCGACAAGTCTGGCGTCGAGTATGTCTCCGGCTCCTCGTCGGGCTCCGATCTTGGCTCCAGAAGTCAGTGCAAAATTATGGTGCGGGTCGTTGTGCAGCTGGGATATTGGACATACTAGTGAAAGGGTACCCGTCTCCGGGCGCCTTTGTGACTCCACCCATTCCGGGGACGGCTACCAGCACTCGTGCTACCTCTTATTTGTACCTCTATCCGTCCTGCTACTTGTGAGGCCCCGCGTCGTCTTTTTGTTGCCCTTCTCTCCTTCTTCCCCTATCCGTCTCCGTATAGTGATTCGGTACTTTTCCTATCCAATGCCAGCGCACGTAAATTGGAACTGCTGCTTTCATTCGTCTTGGGGCTTCCACCCCCCGTCGCAACCGGCCGCTGTGTGAGTTCAAGTATATATGTAGCCTGTTGGGCTATGGGGGCGGCACGCAACCCCATGCTCTGTTATCGTTCCTCCTTCCTCGCCTTCCCTCCTCTTCCAAATTGCGTTGGCAATAGAAGAACTGTGACTTGTGCCTGGGCGACTCGTCTTTTTCGACTGGTCGCACGTATCCCGAGCCTTACATAATGCTGTTTTGGCCGAGCCATTGTCTGTACTACCTGGTCCATGCGCATTCCGGTGAGTGGAGTTGGCGGAGTGCGATTGGGGGGAAATTTAGGCCTCGAGCTACCTTTCCATCGTTGTTGCACTTTTCCAACAATTCTGTGGTGTGGGGTTCGCGTTTTGAAGAGAGCGTGCCACGCGTCACTATCGTTTCATTTCCTCCTCCCTCTCCTCCCTATTCCAATCCTTGCCTCTGCCATCCGCATGTCCCTGTGACAACGCACCCCTCACACGCTGCGCGCGCCCGTTAGGAGCTCCACCGACGGCCCCAGTGGTTTCGTTCGCACGCGCCCACCGCATGCGCCCACCGCATCCCTTTTGGCACACCCTTCACACGTTCCGTGGTCCCATCGGGAGTTCCACCGACGGCCCCAGTGGTTGCATTCGCACGCGCTCACCTCATCTATTTTGGTTTATCCTTAAAGGCTTCGCGGCCCTATAGGGAGCTCCACCGACGGCCACATTGTCACATGGGTTGCTTTCGCATGCGCCCGCCGTACCCATGTTGGTACACGTCTCACATGCTTTGTGACCCCATGGGAGTTCCACCGGCGGCCCCGGCGGCTGCGGTCGCACGCGCCCGCCGCACCCATTTTGGTCAATCCCTCACACGCTTCGTGGCCCCATAGGTAGCCCCGCCGACGGCCCCAATGTCTGCGTTCGCATGCGCCCACCGCGCCCATATTGGCACACCCGTCACGCGTTTCATGGCCCTATACGGAGCTCCACCGACGGCCCCAATTGTTGCGTTCGCGTGCGCCCACCGCGCCCATTTTGGCACGCCTCTCACACGCGCCGTGGCCCCACAGGGGGGCTTTTCCGAGTGCGGTGCAGACAGCGACGCAGCTCACAATTATTTGCATATGGCTGGGTTCTTCGCCAGGCTAAGTTGGCCTCCTGGGTGGCCCTCGTCGCCTCGGTTGGGGGTCTGCCGCAACTGGTGTGAATGGATTCTCTGGGGGAAGTCTGGGGAGCACCAGTATCTGTACTCCAGATTTCGTAATGAAGGGAGGGGGGTCTCATTTCGGGGGGGGTCTCTTCCAGGCTATGTTGGAGGGCCTGGGGGGGTCTGGGGACGATGTTTTGGAGGGTTCTCCCACGGGGGAGGTCTGAAATGGCTTGTCTTGGAGGGTCCAGACCCCCTCCCTTTTACGACGAAATCTGGGGTAATTAGTTCTTCGTTTCCTCGCTTTCTGGTGCCCGTCAATCTGCCCGATTCAAACTCGACGGACGGACGTTCGAGACGGCATCGTCGCATGAGCGGAGCGTACGTTTCCATGGAGGTTCCCAGAACGAGCATCTAAGAGTGGCGTTGGTATACCCGTGGTCGAATAACGGCCCAATCCGGCTTAATCATGCTTGTTCCCGTAAGGTGTTGCGTAATGTGGTTTTTTGGGGTCAGCTTGGGCATGTGGCTGACTGGTTTATCGATCGAGCCCATGTTGGTGTTTCATCGGTCTTGCGAAGACCGCCCAGCAGTTGCATCCTAATACTTCGTTTCTAGTCCAACGCATGTTCGACATAAGGTAACGGACGTTGGACGCGGCATCGGTGCACGAATGGCTCCGGGACAATCCCCAGAACGAGCACCTACAACGGGGGATCGGAAGAGTTCGTTCGCCCTTGTGGCCCCATGACTGCCTCCGACGGGGCGTTGTTCGCATCCTTCCACCCCTTCCCGCGAAGACCGCCGGGCAGGTGCCTCCCTGAGGTGGTCAGGGAGAGTTCACGGGCGAAGAACGGTATAAAAATGATTGTTTTCGTTGTCGGGGGCGCCTGCCCCAGGGCGGCTAGCAAGTCTGCGCCCTTGCGGTGGCACGTCAAGGCATTAATTTTCCAGCTGCCCTGGGGCAGCACCCCCAGCGACGGAAAAGTTTACGTTACACCGCTCCTTGCCCGCTAAGAGGAAGTCGGGCCCGTCCCTCTACAGGAGGAACATTCAAAACTAGTCCAGAAATCGTCTTGGGACCATGTGTTCGAGTATTTGCCGACCATTTTGGAATCTTCCTTGAGTGCTTTCGATGAACATCCCCCTGTAGGGGGACACAACCGCCTTGACGCTCAGAGACGGTGGGCCCTCCCCACCCTGCTGGGCAGGGCAAGACCAGGCACCAGCTCTGGATGGACCTCTGCGACATGGTCTCCAAGCACCCTGCGGACGGGGGCCCGCCGGCCGGCCGCCCGCGCGTCGGGCCGCTGCCTGCTCGAGCGGTGAGCGTTGTCGTGGACCCGCCGTGGTGTGCTCTTCACGCCGGGTGTCCTGCTCCTCCTCCCCCTCCCCCTCCCCCTCCTCCTCCTCCTCCTTCCTCTCCTCCTCCTCCTCCTCCTCCTCCTCCTCTCCTCCTCTCCTCCTCCTCCTCCTCCTCCTCCTCCTCCTCCTCCTCCTCCTCCTCCCCTCCTCCCTCCCTCCTCCTCCTCTCCTCCTCCTCCTCCTCCTCCTCCTCCTCCTCCTCCTCCTCCTCCTCCTCCCCCTCCTCCTCCTCCTCCCCCTCCTCTGGGCCCCGGGAGCATTCACGTGTCTGCCTCGGCCGGGTGGCCATGGGGGGTGGACCTCACGGAGGGGGTCGGGTGGAAGAGAGGACCTCGAGGCGCCCTGTCGGGCCCTTTTTGGAGCCAGGTTGGCCCCAAAGGGCTCCTTCCTTTTAGGGTTTCTTTCTTCACCCTCCATGTAGGTATCCCGGGTTTCCTGCCCGCCCCACAACCCGGGTTGATAATTTGAGCAGAGAAATTGTGTCAGGGGTTTTGGTTGAGGAGACAGCTCCTGGGCGCTATTCGATGCTGGTTGCTGAACAGTTCAGTTCTCTTTCGGGATCCCGCGGTCCTCCACCCCGAGGCCGGGATTTGTCCAAGGGCGAGAGCAGTTAAATGGGAAACGTGTGTTGTGCACACCCTGTTGAACGCGCATGAGGCGCCATCACATGGGGGTTGGAATGGAGAGGGAATTGACATGGACGATAATGAGATGAAGGAGGAGGAGGAGGAGGCAGGGCGCTAATACATGGAGGTCGTGACCGCACGGACAAGGACGCACCACCATCATCATCACCATCATCATCATCAGCAGCATCAATCAGCATCAGCATCATCGTCATCCTCATCATCATCCTCATCATCCTCATCATCATCTTCAAAGCCGCTCGGGCCCGTTCCAGGAGGGACACGGCTTGGCGCCCTTGTCTACCCCTTTCCCAGACAGCGCCCGCCATGGCCTGCCGCTGGTGCCGTGGGGTCGCGCCACCGCCGCGCTCATGAGGAACGCGATCGCACTGCAGCTGTTGCGACGATTCCCGATCTTGACGCACAACGTCGGCAGCTTGCAGCCCCTCCGATTGCAGGAACTCTCCGTCGCCTACCGCAGCATCGCGATCGGCGGCCTCGCAGGCACGGGACGTAGACGCCCAGCTGCATTTGCTCAAGGCGACCCCAGACCTGCGCACATACGTGAGAACACTACTTACCACAACGTGGTTCATTTCCCGTAGCAACCTGGCGCATGTACGAACAAGAGTGCAGGATGCAGTATTCTCCTCGACGAACGACTACGGCCGAATGATATATCGGCCATCGAGACGCCTCCCGCCATCATTGCAGGCCGAGGTGGCATGGTTGACATCACCAACGGCCCTTTGCTCATTCGTGTGGTTGTCGCTTATTTCGAGCCACGTCCTCGCACAGCGCGGGCGCGCCCTGGCTGGCGCAAAGGTTGTCAGCTCCTACGCGAATGGATCGACCAGATGCTGCGCAAATGCGCTTTTCGCAGAGTACAGCTCATCCTTACGGACGCCAACACTGGCCTCGGCAAGATAGGCAACATGCAGGTCAACGACGAATGCGTCGGACAGTACGACAATGGCCACGAGAACGAGAACGGGGAAAATCTGCATTCCCTCATGCAGATGCATTCTCTGGGCGCGCTCAACACCCACTACAAGGTCGGGGCCACCTACATCGGACATCCTGGTGCCACTACCATCGACTACATCTTTGCCCCAGCGTCACTGATCCCAGACGCTACCTGTCGCCTGTGGCTGTCATCGGCACGGTGGACGCGCAAGAGCAAGTACTTCTTCGATCATATTCCGATCGTTGGCTGCTTCCAGCTTCCCTGCCCTGGACACGGCAGTGCTGTGCGCTCGTGCTGCAGTTGGCCCACCTTATGTCGATGCCTTCAGGAAGGACAAGGAGGGGGCGGATTTCTTCAGGACCTTCAGGACAATCTAGAAAAGTACCAGGAGGAGTTCGCGGAAGTGCGCACCGACCCCTCGCCTGCCAGGTACATGCACCTCCTTGTCGCCGTCGCCAGACAGGCCGCTCCCAAGAATTTCTCCCTCGGCCAGGAGCGCCCCGAATGGTGCAGACTTGCGACGAGGAGGGGGCTGGACCTGCTGGCGGCACTCGGCGCCTCCAAGCGTTCGGCGTTTCGACGCGACGCTACGGGCGCAGCTGGCAAGGAGGCGAAGCACTTGACTAAGCTCCTGCACAAGCACATCCGCAGAGTACGTTTACACCAGGACCGCGATCTGCAGCAGCAGATGCGAGACGGAATGCCGAGCGTCGTCTTGTTGATATGCATTCAGCTGCTAGACGTCGTGCTCATCGGGGGATTGGAGCCCGTAAGAGAGGTTTTCGTTCGCCACCTTCATCCCAGCCCTCAGCAGACGAGTGGATCGCTGCACTAAGCATCCCAGGATGCGAAGGCGCCTTCAACGCGAGCACGCTGGATGACGCCTACCTGGTCACCATGCTCGCCCCTCAGGCCACAAAGCGCGGTGAACGAATGCAACTTCCTCCACGACCAGACGGACCAGGTACCCGCATTGGTGTCCGAGATCTTCTCGCGGGCGATGAGGACTTCAACGCTACTAGGCGCCATCTTTGGCGGATGAAACGCAGAAGGTTCGCGCCGTGCTGGGGCCTGCCGACCGGCATTTTCCTGATCATCACCAACCCCTCCTTCCTCGGCAAGCCTGCAGCACAGACGGCGGGTCTCGGATTATTTCAAGCGTTTGACCCGATGGACTTCGAGAAGGCGATTGGCCCGACAAAGAGGAAGCTACCGCTGGACCATTTCACGAAACCCGCCAAGCTACGCATTGAGATTCACGCGTTGGCACGCGCATCACAGGGGGCCCCCAGCCAGGCCAACATGAGCCAGACATGTGCCCTCGACAAGAAGAAAGGACTACCTGGAGTACCTGGATTACGCCGACTACATGCCTTTTGTCCGTGGTGGCGGGGATTCCATCGACGCATTGTCAACTCGGAGGGGGGGGGGGGGGGAGGGGGTGCGGGGGGCGGGGTGGGGTGCGTGTGTGTGTGGGGGGGGGGGGGGGGGCATCGACCGCCCGGGTGGGCGCGCGGAGGAGTTCGCAAGCGACGAAGGGAGGAGGTGATGTGTCTATCACGGATTGTGGCCCTTAGAATCAGAGCATGCAGATGGACCGTCGTCGCTAAATCATACGACCAAAGATCAGCCTTCCAGAGCAGCAAGCACGATGGTCTGAACCTCATCGCTGGCGACCGCGCGACCTACTACTACATGCAGGAAGGCGAACCTGACGAACTACATGACCGCATCCACACCACCACCGAGTTCCTTCGCCAGCGCCGCTCTGAGGCCGTCATGCGCATCTCCACGCCGCAGCAGTGGCTCTATTTGCGCGCAGGCAGTGGAGGACCCATGGGGGACAGCAACGAGCCTGAGTTTTTTAATGTCCAACTACTACGCCAGCATCGACGGGTATAACGAGGTTGCGCGCCCTTTCTCCAAGTTTACCCTTGCCCGCGGCGACATGTTTGGCGACACTGTGAATGTTGGAGTGGGCCTATTTATCGACGACCTCCTCAAACTTCTGGCGTTTCCACCCGAGACATCCCCAGAGGATATCCGCAACACTAGCAATTTAGGCGCCGAGTGTTTGGACGAGAGCGGAGAAACATGGGAATACAAACAGAATCGCACAACGGCGGAGACTGTGATCACCGCCTCGCGTCGAGGTATCACACAGGCACCCGTCGCCGACAAGGCGGTCGTTGGCACGATCTTACCTGAGCTGAAGCATCTCGGCGGCATGTTCTCCGCCTCAGGCAGCAACGTTGCTGGGCGATACGAACGACTACGTGCTATCAACCGAGCGTGGAATCAGTTGAGCGGTTTCTGGCATTCCAAGGCTGGACGGCGCCCTCGCCGACTTCTTTTTTCGGAGGGTGCGTCCATAGCGCGGCCACCTCTGGCGGCGAGAGCTACATCTACACGAGGGCCGACACCAGGGCTCTCGACGCCAGCCTGGCGGGCAAGTTGCGCTCCATGCTAGAAGGCCGCGCTCATTCTGAACGACGCGGTGCGCATGGATCATGGCCCACCCTGAACGCGTGGAGATACTGGAGGTTAGCACCAGTTGCTCTTGAGCTTACGGTGCGCCGCCTGTCCTGGTGGCGCGACATGGTGACTGACATCGAACAGCACCTCCAGTTTCTGACGGTTTTGTTCGGCACGCTCGCTGTGGAGGGGCACGCGCAGTGCATTGTCCCCATCCTGAAGGAGAATGGCGAGATCAACACCGAGAGCAACATCCACCCGTGGGCGAAGCAGCTGGCGCGCGACATCGACACCCTCCTCACACTGGATCTGGCTACTGAACTACGACACGAATGGCAACCTCGCGATATTCGAAAGGGTAGGACAGATCCCGAGCTGCGCGACATGTACACCGCAGTGAACCCTCGCACGCTACGAGCGAGTTTTTTCTTTTCCCGGCAGTGGCCACCACGTGGCACACACTTGGAGGAGTATTTGCCTGCGGAAACTGAGGTGACGGGCGTAGAAGGCACTCCCACCTACCAATGCGAGATCACCCTGACAGACGGCACCGTCTGCGGCCGTACCTTTTCCGCCCATCGCTGCACTACGGGCGCGCCAGACGCACAGCCAGGAGCCACCCCACGCCATGAGCAGCGTGCTCGGCCTCCTCATCCTGGACAGTAAGTGCTTGAGATGCGATACGGTCTTTCGGACCAGAGATCATTGCTCGCGCCATGTACTGGGGAGCTGGACCACTCGCCGCTGCCTTCGGTCCAACACTGTGCAGGCGTGGCCGTGCCGCCCGCCCGAAAAACTGGAGTGCCTTATTTGTCGTGTCGAGGCCCCTCGTGATGCCGCACCTGAGGCCCATTTGGACCCTTCAACTCTATGGAGCCCCCGCAAGACCTCCATCTTCGTCGGCACGCGCACCGACTGCACGTGCGTCATCGTCACCGCCAACATCACGAGCACGGACACGCAGCACATCGAGCACACGCGCGCGACGAACGGCACCATCATCACGTCAGTATTTCGAGCAGCGAGCGACACAGACTGAGACCGAGACGACGAGGCCATCATCCCCACGACCAACACGGAGACTACGAGCGAAAACCCGAACCCATAGTGCGACCACGAGTGCGAAACCACCGTCATCACCGCTGACTTTCGGCTCAGTGGACGCGCTTCGGCGCCATTTGCTTTCTCACGTGCCAGCGCCAGTTCATACATCGAACAAACCCCGGATCGTGAAAGAGCTTCGACCTGTTCAGCGACGCCCAACCTTGAGAATCAATCGTCCATTACCTGCAGCTTCGGAGTGCGGTACTCGAACATCGCGGGCCAGATCGCCGGTGTTTGCAACTACTACGACACGTGCTGCTGATGAGGGCAGCCTGGCGCCTCCAGGCATCCTCGCCAGCGTCTGGGAGCATTGGCAGCGGCGGCAAGCGCGGGCCAGGCCCTGCAGCTGCCCCACTTCGGACGAGGCGAGGCGGCAAGCGGCGCAACCAGGGCGAGAAGAAGGACAAGGGCCTACAGGTTCAGGACCACTGCGACTGTCTTGAAGCTGTCCTCTCCACTGCTCGTGCAAACGTCGCACCCTCCCACCCGCAACTTGGTCGCAAGACATCTTCAGACAAGACTGTGACGGTAGGTACTGCGTGGCACTTGGCCACGACACCGATGCTGACGACGACAGCGACATCGACGACGACGGCGCCGCCGACAGCGACTGCGACGACACCGACGACGTCTCCAATGTTTTCGACGACGACAACGGAGACGACGACAACGACGCCGACGACGACGACGAAGACGACGACGACGTCGCCATCGGAGACGACGACGACGGAAGAGAAAAAAACGACGACGGCGACAACGACGACAACGACGATGGAGGAGGGAAGACGGCGACGACGCCAACGACGAAGAAGGAGGAAGGACGGCGACGCCGACGACGACAACGACGAGGGAGGAGGGAAGACGACGACGATGACAACGACGACGAAGACGACGACGACGGCGACGAAATAGGAGGGACGACGACGAGACGCCGACGACGGACGACGACGACGAGGGAGGAGGATAACGACGAGGGAGGAGTGAAGACCACGACGACGACGACGACGACGACGGCGACGAAATAGGAGGGACAACGACGAGACGCCGACGAAGACAACGAGGGAGGAAGGCCGACCACGGCGACAACGACGACGGAAACGACGACGACGCCAAAAACGACGAGGAAAGACAGAAGACGACGACGGCGACGACGACGACGACGACGACGACGAGGGATGAAGGAGGACGTCGACGACGACGACGACGCAAGAGCGCGCGCGCACAATTTTGTTGAAAACCCGTGTTGCGAAACCCTGTGTTTTTGTATGTTTTTTGGACGCACGATTTCGACATTCTTCCGGAACCGAAGGTTTTTGAAGGATTTCGGCATACGCCCGCGACGACGCGCGCGTCTGCACTTCGTCCCATTGTTTGCAGAGGATTCTCGCGACGGCACACGCGCAAGAGCGCTCGACAGATTTCGACATGCGCGCGCGCGAAGCCCGTTTGGTAGCATTTTGTGAAAATATTGGAAAACCTATGGTTTTCTTAAGATTTCGCAAGAGCTCGCGCGTAAGTTTTTTTGTTTTTGAATCAGTGTTGCGAATCCATGTGTTTTTTTGTAAAAAAATGCAACTAAATTTTGAAATCTCTCCGGAACCGAAGGCTTTTTAAGGATTTCGGCATGCGCGCGCCACGACGCGCGCGTGCGCAGTTCGTCCCCTTTTTTTTGCAGGGGATTCGTGAAACAAGTGGTATGTTAGAACAAAACATGTCACCGCATAGTGTTTTTTACAAGGGAACCGCAGGGGGGGGAACCTGGCTTGGCTGGGATGGTATGGATTCATATTTAGGATGGACATGTGGTCAGAATCATATGTAATTTACAGCACGCGCGGGGGACCCGATAAGTCCGGGGGGGGGGGTAAATCTATTAGTCTTGCGCGAGCTGCTCCTCTTGCTGCTCAAGCAGGTGCTCAACAACACTCAGAAGGTCAGAGCGATCGAAGGGGCACTCCTCGACTCGTTCATCTTGCCCAAGAGCCACAAGGTCATCGTGAAGACGCAGGAAGCTCAGGAGGCGTTCGCGGAGAAGGTCGAGCAGTTCCGCAAGGACAGGGAGAAGAACCCAGACCTGCCACCGCTGGGGCCTCCACATACTCTGTTGTTCGGCGAGCTCCTGGATGTGCTGGCGGAGACACCCGAGGTCGGAGGCGCCAACCTGGCACACCTCAAGAAGATGGTGGGGGACTTC